TGGGGTCTTTGCCTTGAAAATCAAGTTTGGATCATATGATTTACTATGTCCCGTAAGGTCATTTTCAAGGCAAAGACTCCTTATAGTTTGTAACGCTATAATGCTTTAACAAAAGTTTTTCCTGAGCATCTGGGTAAAATGGGCTTTAGATGACCCCAAAAAGTTAACACGAAAGAAAGCATTTATTTTGGGTAAAAAAATAAATAAGGTTTATGACTTTAACTTAGGCGAATTATTCATTAAAAATATTATAAGCTTTAGTAATCGCTTAGGAAATAATACAACGTGAAGGAAACAAATACTGGCTGGAGTTAAGCATGGTTGTGGATAAAATCAGCATGTTTGCAAATTATTTATAATCTTCATTCAAATTTAACAACTAAACTTATTAATAAAATATTATATACGGTATTTGTAGTGAAAGTTTGAGTAAAAATTGTTACTACAAACAATTTAATGCAAAAAATTAGTTTACTTATTAAAAGGCGAGCTTAATATGTAGCGAATTTAGTTTTCGGAAATTTTTGGCTGTATAGTCTTTATGTTACATTATTTGGCAAAAAAATATTGCACACTACGTGATGAGCGTATACCGGGAAGATAACACGTATTAAATCACGCGCCAAGGAAATTTTTCCTACACACTGGTACTGTTATAATCGACCTCAGAATCATATAAATTAATAAATTCGTCTTCATAATCAGATGAGTCTGACCGTGTTGTCCTATCAACTGTCACAACGTCAATTTCTTCATCTTCGTCTTCAAAATTTTGATTTTTATTATATTGTACGGCCTGGACTTCTTCGCTCACAATATCAAATTCATCTTCTCTTTCCTCATATACTATATTGTCATGAATTTCTGTGAAGGCGGGATCCCAGTTGACCCAATCCTCCTTGTGTCGCGTTGTCCATGTATGCATTGCCCCTTGCTCGTCTACTGACACAATAATTGGCTGTATGGGGTGTTGGGCAAGGTCTACTAAGTTTTCATATGGCCCCTGCAGCGTTTGGACGAGTCTAGTGGTTCTTATGTCCCATATGAATATTTGATGCGTTGCTAATTTAGCGGAACCTTTAAATAAAATAATATATATATATATATAAATATATAAAATGAATAAGTAAAAAAAATTAAGCAAAACTATTTGGATAAATAGATATACTAACCTCCAATTACATATTCACCTCCCTGGCTAAAACAGCATTGATTCCAACTATTCTTATTAACAGTTTCAGCGAATTGCAGCTCAGAATTATGTATTCCTTGATCATCTAACCAATAAAGGCGAATCGTTTTGTCCTGAGTGTGTACGACTACATCTCTATTAAGATAAAATAAAGAAATCATCATAACTAAAAAAGAAGAATAAAAATAGAGTATATATAAATTATAATCGCATAAATATGGTAAAACTGAGAGCCAGTACATACTTGCCGTTGCGGCTGACAATTATATCTTTTATCGGAGAGTTACTGATTTTTGGATTGTGTAATATCTAGAAAGGATAAGAAATAGTAAGTAAAAGAAAAAAATAAAATGGGATAAAGACAAATTTCCACAAACTATCTACCTTTCGAGTTTCAGGATCGATTACGTTCAAATATCCTTTACTAGTTCCTGAGAGAATACGTGCGCCTCGTCTGTCATATCGACAAACAACTGTTTTACTATAGAGCGGATTATTATTGCCTATCATCAGTAACAAGTAAGTTTCATCCGACCATTTTAACAAGTATGTGAAATAGAACAGGAGAGTTTCGGAAGTATGGCATACTTTATCGAATTAGCCGATTCTTCACCGTTAATATTCGTATCAGACGACGTATCAGCATTTGTTGGTAAGGGATATCGAATTATTGTATCGCCTATTTCCACAATAACCGGAGGTTCTTGAGATAATGAGGCGACAAACATAGAACTGTCATTGAAGGAATATTTTAAATAAATTTTTCCAATAAAAAAAAAAAAAAAGAAAAAAAAAAGCAAGTAGTAGACATTTACTAACTTATTTCTCGGGTGCATTTGTGCCATGGTTACGTTACTGTCGAAACGTATCCATTTTTGGGTGCCTTTCTTTAGATCCCAATAAACACATTTGTTGTCTTCTCCGCATGAAAGTATACAGCGGCCGTTACGTGACCAACTGTAAATCGGAAATTAACCAGTTAATTTATGAAAGGTTTTCATTAATTAGATAATTTAATCGTTAAATAAAAATAAAAATAAGAAATAGAATTTTTTTTTTTTTTTATTGATTTCGTGAAGTTACCTTACGCTGGTTATTGAAGCTACGTGACATTTCATTTT